TATGTATGTATATATTACATGATTGTCTGATACTATTGACTTTCTGAGTAGATGAACAGGCTTCTTAATAGATTATGAGTAAAATCAACAAAATAAGTATATATATGTATAATAAATTACAATATAATCAGACAAACAGAATAAATATAATACTTATTTTGTTGTATATAATATATGTATAGTATATATATATATATTTTATTTATTTAAGTTTTTTTTAAGAAAAACAACACTATCTTACAATCTAATGAATAATTACAGGACTTACAACTCCCATCCTAAAAAGTGCATGTATCCTTATATAAAACACAGAAAGCACGGAGTTTAAAATGACATTATTATAATGAAGAAGTGAAATTTATTATTTACATATTTTTATTAATTACTTACTTAAAGTATTATCGGAGAGCTTATTTTAACATATTTTTTAAATAAACAAGTATATTTTGTTAATTTTGACCGACCCTTTGTCTTCAATAAAGCATTATAATCTGTTTACGAACAGACTTGATAGTGCTACATTTGTATTATTGTTAGGAGGTAGGTTAGGAACGTGTTTTTTTATATGCGGGTAACATATGTAAGTACATTCTATACGTGGTATAGAGACAGGCCACAGCTATATTATTATGAGTGCAGCACGAATTGGTCGACTCGAAAGGGGAAGGATCACGCTCTCACAAAATACCGTCTGCGTAATGCGTCTCGTATGCTGAGTGTAGAGAACCGAAGATAATTTTTACTGATAATGAAGCATTCCGTAATAGTCGTCAGGTTTGACAATCGCATCTGCATTTTAATTTCAATCAATATGTCTGATAACTACACCATACTATTACCATCAGGTAAATTATGTGCTCGTTTGTCACAATACTTGTATTAAATTAATAAGATTGAAAAAAAAAAGTCACTTTTGAGATTATTGTGCAATTAGCAACATTAGACTTTTACTTTATATTTCGCCATTGCTGCATAGTATTTATTTGACAATTTTATGTACCTTTCAGAGATCGAATACATCCAACAAGATATCGTCGACAGTGTTCACGCCACCAACACCAGAGTCGGCCGGGTACACCAATTTTTTAAAGAATCTCTAATGGTATTTGAAATAATCGAGATGACACTTGCGATGCTGATGCGAATGATATTTATCATTTTATATATCCCTCATCATCGTCATTAGCCTGTGACAGTCCACTGCTGGACACAGGCCTCTTCCAAGTCGCACCACTAGCTTGATCTTCGGCTTTAGGCATCCCGTTGCTGCCAGCCGCTTTGATCACAGATCGTCTCTCACCGCGCTTCCCGAAAGACGGAGTGGCAGAGATCGTCTACTCTAACGGTTATCGCTTCTGTGACAAAAATGTGACCAGCCCATTGCCACTTTAGCCTGCAAATACGGAAGGCTACATCGTGTATATTCTCTCGTATATTCAGCTATTTGGATTTTTAAATGGTCAATATACTACCCTTAGAAATAATGCATCAATAAAAACTTTAAATATCCGCATTTTGATGATCAATGAGTAACTGTATATTATTTACATCAATGCATGTAACTTGTTTTTACTTATCAAATGTATTTGACGGCTCCGTAGCACAGTGGCTTAGCAATGATTCAAATCCCGCACAGAACAAGTATTTGTATGGCCTATAAATAATTGTTCTGGGTCTGGATGTTTGTTTTCGTGAAATTTGTGTATGTAAATTGCCCCCACGATACAGGAAAAGATCCTAATATGGAGGTAACGTTTTATTAAAAATAAAGTACCGGAAAGTAAAAAAAAAAATTAATTTCTTTTTAATGTTGTAACATTATAACACTAAGTATATTATTATATTATCATACCAACATAATTATGATACACAACTATTCTATTATAGTAAGAAATCATACACATCTTTTAGTGTAATTGCTATTATTTTCTTAATAATAACTGTTGTCTCTTGGCTGGTCAGTTCAATATTGGTTCAATATTCTTATCAAAACAAATGATTTCACACACAACGGTCAAATGGCTTAGCAAACATACGCTTTTATTGTTACTAATCGGTGTTATCACAAAACGTGGTTTATTGAAAGTCTGGGGCTTGGAACGGTCTAGCTCCTCTACTCTCAAAGGTCTATGTCACTTTGTCTTCGCGAAATTTGATATTTGCTAAGTATGGAATACGTTAATTTGCATATTTTCCACGGGAGGTTTCTTTTTTGAAACAGACTATAGATTCAACCTCAGACTAATTAAAACATTGTGTTATAAGACGGTTAAATGATAAACTCGCGCCTTATCAAAAATTGGCGTCTCTTTTGTTTTTTTTTTGTAGATTTTAACTTTTGTCAATTCAAATATAGTAAAAATGCTTAAATCTTCTAAAACAAAATAGAAAATATGCGCAGATTTACATTTCATGATTATATTTAATACCGTAAATTTAAAAAAAAAAACCTACCGAAACTACAAGGTATAATACTACAAGGCGCGACAGTTTTAAATTAGACTATTTCTACTACCAATGCCAGTAACTCCTACTGTGATTATGTGCGTCAGTGGACTTTTTCCGGAATATATATATATAAAACGTCTTAAAGGTTTTTAATTTCTCCGTTGGTTCTATTATAGTGAGATAAGTAACGAGTCGGGCTATAATTCAAACAGTCCGATCAATGTTCCAACCAAGTGCTGTATACTTCAAGGCCTACATTGGAGGAAGTTTCTTTAATAAGGTTTTTGATTAATACATTATTCGATTAATCCTTATTTAAGTTAATTTTGTAAATGTTATGAGGTAGCTTTTCCAATGAATTCGTACAATGTTGTTATTAATTAATACATTACCGATTTGCACGTATTTATTGTTGTTTGTTTGATTTCAATAAAGAAAGTTTCTTGTTATCCGTTTTTTTATTTCCATTGACGTTCTCTTGACCTTATTATTGTCAGGTCTTGACCATTTATTTGCAGGTTTTTGCTCAAAAATCAGGCTAAGGGTGTTACCTCACCAATCGATCGATCTTCGATAGATGCCATGGATCAATTGGTGTGGGTAGAGCTATAATTGATCGACGGATACTGGTCGATAAAATGTTATTCAATCATTGTTCGACAGTTATGGTTGTGGGCTCATCATTAGTATCTTTCAAAATGCAGTCGATGGAGTGGGGCGGGTTCTCGAATAATCAAACAGCTCGATCGACGTCGACTAATCCATTCTACCATCGTACGATGCCATCGATCGACTGGTGTGGTCGAAACTATCGGTCGACGTCGACTAATCTATTTCGATAATCGATCGATTGCCGTGGTAACACCCTTAGTCAGTATTTGTGAATAACTTTCTAATTATTGATTTTCAGTTTAGTTGTGTTGTCTGTGATCTTTTACTATTGTATTAAACATTATACTAGGGGGATTATTTTTAGAATTCTGTCTGAAATTCGTATCAATCTTCTTCCAAACTTCAGAGTACCCGATGATGTGTTTCAGTTTAAAGGTCAAGAGAACCAGTACTTATATGCTATATGAGAAATTTTATCTTAATCCTCTGGAGTGACAACGTATCTGTTGCCTTCTTTGTTAGAAATAGGTTCCAGAGTCCATGAGTTTCAGTATGTAATGTCCTCCAGACTCGGTGACCAGTCTCAACGGAGACTATCCATCTGCGCAGGACAGGATTATAGTGCCCAAGTGTATGCACAAGCACAGAAGCACTCTCTATTACATCACTGCTGGGGACACGATAAGAGAGAGAGAGAGAGATAAGGCGCAAGACCTACGGCTTTAAGCGCTTTCCGAGGCACGGGGGTGGGACACCGACAACTTCTCGACTCCGAGTGCTACTGAGATTTGCAAGACAAAAACTTAATAACTGATTTTGGCCCGATCCGGGATTTGAACCCGGCGCCTCATGATCAGCAATAGCGTTTACGAATACTAGATCAACGAGGTAGTCCAGTCTGTAGTTACTAAGGTAGTATGAGGGCATATTTGTCGTTCACATAATAGAAAAATTTGACCTAGATTGGGGACTGATAGATAAGAAAGTGGGAGTCCCTTGTGCGATGTAATCTACTACTGGTATAGTGGGAACACGAATCGGTCGGCTCGACCGGGGAAGGACCACGCTCTCACAGAATACCAGCGTAAAATAGCAGCTTAAAACTACTGTTTCGTATGGTGAGTGTAGAGAACCGGCGACCGATTTTACTGGAACCGCAGCATTACATCTTAGTCCTCACGGGTGACGACGCATCTGCATTTTGATTTGTAATCGAGGATAGATGTAGATGTCTATGGGCCACAACAACCACTTACCATCAGGTGGACTGTGTGATCGTTTGTCACCCTTATCGTATAAAAAAAATCGTAACAGTGCAGCCTCTGTCACCCTCAAGGTGCAGATGGGATTGGTATTTGCAGAAGAAGTAAAACTGCATCTCATCCATTCCGTTACAGCCTATTAAAAGTCTCCTGCTGAACATAGCCTACCCTTATATTTTACTTATGGGGGGGGGGGGGGGTATTTGTCTTAGAACAGGTGGTTCTGAAAATTCATTGGTAAAGTATTGATAGCTCTATATGCGATTCCATTATCGTACTTCGAGCTGTAACGTACGTTGTAAGTATAATATACTATATAATATATTATATGCAGTATATGCGGGGGATGGGGATGTAGGTCATACGTAGTTATAGTTTCCATGAGTTATTAATTCATGTAATAACTTCCTTTTGTATGCTTAGTTGCTACTCTTAGCAACCGAAGTTTATTTTTTATTTTTATTTGTTATTAGGAAGACGCTGCTGTCGTATTGCCGGTTTTTTACCCTATATCGCCTTTTAAGACACCCACTGTGCGATATGGGGTAGTAGATATTCTTACAGCGCGATAAACACAAACATGCCTACTTTAAAAATGATAAAATCAAAACATAACTGCAATTAAAAAATTTATTCGGTCGGTTGTATCAAATCGTGAATTGTAATGTCTTTCGTGAGTTAATGTATGGGCAGTATTCCTTTATTCTCTTGGTAACCGCCGGTCGCCTCTTGATGACCATGGACAGATTGGGCACCCAAATTGTTGAATTTCTCCAATTGTTCGGCGCCTCCTTTGTAACCTTTTTGAAGAAATTCGCCCTGAAAAAAGGAATATTCTTTAAGATAAATCATGATTGATAAAGATGAATTTTGCTATTTGCTGACGGCGTCTTCCAATCCAATCTATCATTATCATCCCATGGGTGTTATAAGAGAGATGATAGATACGTCAAAAGACCTTATAGCTACTGATAGATGGCAATACAAGCATGTAGTTCAAGCAAACCTGCCAACACGCATTGGGGCAGCTTGCATATTCTAAGAACCTTAAGACACCCAAGGGACGATATATGGCGATGTTCTAAGGCTGCCACCACTCGGCTAAGTAGGGTAAGGGCGGAGGTAATTTAAGTTTTTGTAGTGATGGTTTGGTAGTGCAGTGGCTAAGCATTTGGCTACGGCACTGCGAGAACGCGGTTTCGAATTCCGCATGGAGGAAGTATTTTTATGGCTTACAATAATTTATCATTTCCGGTATGCATGTTTGCCTATGTACAATTTGTATATAAACAACGCGATACATGAGAAAATTTTAATAACTTTATTTAAAAAAAATCCAGTCAGACGCGGGTGCAATCATTACTCGACGTGACCAATAACACTAATGGTGGCGTTACAGAATCTATTTCCACATCTTATCCGCGGGTGTTATAAATGTCGACTACGAGCCAAAGGACCTTTCTCATGACATTTATCATGTATATTGCCATCTCATGGATGGTGGTTAGAAAGTCATAAATTAAAATATAAACATTATAATTATAACTTTTAACAAAAAGTAAAAACCAACTTCAAACTGCTAAAAAATAAGTTATTTATTTGCTACCCTTAGGGGTGAAAATGTTTCTCCAAATATATATGGGACCACTCTTGTATTAAAACCTATTTAATAAAAAAAGAATTATCAAAATTGGTTCACAATATGCGAAGATATCGCGTAACATACATAGAAAAAAAAACACCCTCGAATTGAGAATCTCCTCCTTTTTGAAGTCGGTTAAATGTGTATGCCATCAAAAACATAACTTGTAAAAACTCTCTCGCAACTCAGTTCTTCTACCGTAAAAATTTGTGAGATCCATGTAATACCAAATCGGTTAATTTATTCAGCCCCTACTTAAGAGTCCTTCTGTCTTAAGTTATTACGTAATTAGCTAACCTAACAACACCTTATAGTGACCATATCATTATTAAAAATCTTTTATGTTTTAAATGAATAGATTGACTTGGCAATCGTTGTTGTTATTGTGTGTGACCGGAAAGCGAGTGAGTAGCGACTAGCGACATGTGCGAACGTCGGATGTGTACAATTTTTAGTAAAAACTTCGGGAAGTCGAGGTAGTAACAGTGGGGTTTCAAGTCTCCCGGTCAATCCGGGAGGGCTGGAAAACCCACTTATAACATATCTATATTTTGATTTGTAATCAGGTATAGATGAAGGTTAGGCTACAGCAACCAGTCACCATCAGGTGAACTGTGTGTTTGTTTTGCCACCCTTATTCTACATAAGAACTTACCTTATTAGCCTTAGCATCATCAACTTTATGCTCAGAAACGTGATGTCCTTCCTTTCCTTGAGAATTGGCATCCAGGATCTTTTCTTCATGAGCGCCCTTGAATCCTTGTTGTGACTTCTCCCCAAAGGAACCAGCATTCTGTCCCGCGATCCTGTGATCAGCTTCGTCATGGGCCTCATCGTAGAAGCTTTCTGATTTCTCTTCTTCGTTCTTACTACTCGATGATTTGAAGCCTTTGCTCACATGACCTTTCTTGTGACTTTTAGCTTTTTTGACCTGTTCCTCGTTTGCACCTAAATATTATTTTTTTTTAAATTGCTTATTTATTTATCAATATTTGGCTACAAAACAGTATATGTACATCTTTTAATTAATATTTATTATTGAATAATTGCCAAATAAGTGAAGCGTAAGAGTTATGGAGTTTAAACTTTCTTTTTTTTTACTTATTATAAGCCAGTGCTCGACCACAATACCACCTGGTGGTAAGTAGTGATGCAAGCTTAGATGGTAAATTGCACGGTCTTAGCGTAACAAAAGCATATTCACTCTTGCCTTGAAGACGCCCAGATTGTATTCGGATGGAAAGATAGACGCCGGCAGATCATTCCACTCCTTTGCTGTACGCTTTACAAAAGACGAAGCAAACCGTTTGGTTCTAATGCGTGGAATATCGACAACAGAAAATCATATACAGTTTTAGGTTATGTAAAACAATTATAATTATCTGCAAGGTGGGTTTTGAATCCAAAACTGAAGCTGGCTATTGATATATTAATTTATGTTTAATAAATAACTTAGTAATCGTAATTATTATTCTTTTAAGAGTACTGTTGGACACTAGCCTTTACAATATATACAAAAATACAATATGATACAATTCATGACGTGGTAGAGCCATGTTGCAGCTATATTAGTGGTATGGTTATAACACGAATGGGTCGGCTCGACCGGGGAAGGACCACGCTCTCACAGAATACAAGCGTAAAATAGCAGCTTAAAACTACTGTTTCGTATGGTGAGTGTAGAGAACCGGAGACCCATTTTACTGGAACTGCGGCATTACATCTTAGTCCTCACGGGTGACAACGCATCTGCATTTTGATTTGTAAGCGAGGATAGATGTAGATATCTATGGGCTACAGCAACCACTTACCATCAGGTGGACTGTATGCTCGTTTGTCACCCTTATCCTATAAAAAATTAATTATCTTACTTTCAACTTTTTCAATTAATTTTCATACTTTAAAAGTTAAATTAAGGATTACTTAACATTGACCACAATATGGTTGCTGCGTAGCTCCACCACGTATACATACATAATTACATCATACATCATTATAACATTTATTTTCATCTAATTCCTTAGAAGTAACAACGTATTTGGAGCCTATTTTATTCGTTGCTAGTTGTGGATAAGCTGCAATAGCCACATATAATCAGATGATCTTAGCTCATTGGCCTCTTTTATATTGTAAGATCTCTTTAACTGATATATGATGACATAGATTTTTATATTGTAGGTAGATAAGTGATATTATTATATAGTATTCATATAATATATCTTAAAGAAAAATTAATGTTCACTATATTCATGTAAATAAGATTACCTTGTTTGTCGAACTTTTGGCCCCCTTCGTAATACTTCTCGTCGTCCGCTGCTTTCTTCTTGGCTTCCTCGTCTTTATAAAAACTAGATTCTCCTTTCTCCGTCTTTGCAGCCGCCGCGGCTTGCTGGAAACCTTCCTGCCCATGTTTCGCTTCTTCTTCTACTTTCTTTTCAATTTTTTCAACGTTCTCATCAGCATCTTTTTTCTGTGCAGCGTCGTAAGCTTTCTTATCTACATAACCCCCTCCAACTGCCCCCAGGATAGGATGGTATAAAAGGCCATTCCCGACACCAATACCTCCGAAGCCTCCCAGTCCAGCAAGACCAGGGTTTATGAAGCCACCATTGGCTAGACCAGAACCACCTGCCCCAATACCTACCCCTCCAATACCACCAACGCCAATACCTCCATTGCCTAATCCAATTCCGCCAGTTCCAACACCGCCCACACCGAGGCCGCCAACTCCTCCTAGACCAATTCCTAATCCCTGTCCAACTCCAATACCGCCAAAACCTCCTAGCCCATTGAAGCCTAATCCTTGACCCAGGCCGACACCACCGACTCCAGTAACAGTGTTCAAAACTGTGGATGCAGCGCCTTTAACAATGTCGGGGTAGTCTTGACTTTCTTCAACTTCGTAGGAACTTGACAATGGTAAACCGGATCTAACATCTGTACTTAGTTTGTCTAAATGCTCTTTTACATAATCGTACGGCGTCTTCTCATCGGACAGCTCAACTTTCTGCAAGACGTGTGCACTCGTTAACGCACTAAATGTAAGGGTGAACACTGTAACCAGCATCGTGCTAATGGCTTACCGACACAGTTCGACTGATAATATTTCGGAATTGCATCGATTATTTATAGTAAAGTCAATAACGGTGGAACGAAGTCGTTTCTTTACGCGGATTAGACCTATGATAGTTTTCACGAATTTTGGAGTCCGCACCTGGGTTGTTGTTTCCTTCCTGTAGTATTGTCTTTTCTAATTGAAACGAGAACGTAATACCTAAAATACAATGTGACGGTCAGAGACCTTGTTTTCCAGTTCATTGGAGGCGGTAGTGGGGCGCTGGTGTTACGCAAGCCGGTATGGGTGACACGTTTTCTAGGTGATATCTCGGTTATTGTATTTTCTGGAATAAATTCATCGAAATATTGTTATATATACGAGATACAGAGAGAGAGAAAATAATTTTTGTTCAGAAGACATAGGTTAAAGGCCTTACGAAATTTATTAATAGGTTCTAAGTAAAAGTGTATTTATAATCATTATTGATGATAATTGTACATACATAAGTATAATAATATAAAATTTCTACACATTTTTGATATTATAAAGAAATTGGGACAAACATTTTAGTATAATTGTTTTTTACAAATGCTATGCACATCTGCACTCTGTGTTTCCAACTGATGTGATCCCGATTTCGAATCCCCGGGTGTGGCCTAAAAATCAGTTGTTGGGTTTTTCTATAAACCCTAGATTCATAAACATGTTACGAAATTATTCATAAACATTCGCCACTGAGAGAAACATATTAATATTGACATTTTTCAATTTATCAAAAACTTTTTGATAACATCAAAACGTAATCTTAAATTTTGTTCATTAATAATAAAAATAATAATAAAAAATATTTGTTCTGACCAATCAACATATAACACAGCCCTTGACGATCCATACTCATGAATGTCTTTTCATTGAGTGCAAATAGCACCTTTGAGATTTTTTATAATCACTGAAATCACATATTTTTTTCTGAGGTCCACTGAGTTGTGACGAAGTGTTGTCATATACATGAACAATTTTCATTTATAGGCTTAGCGCCATAGCTGACATTTTTTGGTACTTGTGTAAACATGTATCACAGAGTTTCTTCGAGATTTCTTTTGTACTTACTGCTCATCCACTTTATCGATCCTCAAAGTCTCTGAGGTGGTGCCTATATTAGTTACTAGTCTTCATCATCCGAGGAATCGTTTATCAATAATGCCTCTATTTAGTGGTTAGTCTGTGATGACATGCTCTTCCCAGAAACAAAACTTTTTTCTTATATAAGAGCGGGCAAACGAGAATGCGGCTCACCTGATGGTAAGTGACTACCGTCGTCCAGGAACAACTTCAATTCCAGGTGAATTGCAGATGGGCAGTCAGCCTTTTAAAAAAGAGTACGATATTCTTATTTGCATACAAGCTTATAATATTATATAGGTACTATTCATCTAATAATTAATGAATAATAATAAAAATATAGTTGATTATATTTATTATACCTTGGATAACACTCAATTTCTGGAATAAATGACGATTTCAAATAATCATACCTATTATTCAATCGAAACACTATAATGTATGTACCTACACATTCGTTTGTCGGGCGACCTAATCACTATAACTCATTGAGGAAGGTACTAAGGAGTTGAACATCAATAATTTTCACTCTAAATGTTTTGCGTGGTCTGTGAGACGAATGTTTATGAATCTTGCATTAAAAATTCTCAGCAGCCCGGAATTAGGAAGTTAGTAGTGCTTCACTCCTGTGCATCGGTGAGCACGTTAAGCCATTGATCCTGCACCTGATCTCTCGCCGGTCGTGCCGGATTTCATCGGAATATAAGGATGTGTCAATAAAGAGTGCGCCTGTTCTTGCACACACTCGTGCACTATAATCCTGTCCTGCGCAGGTGGCTATAGTCTTCGTTGAAACTGGCCACCGAATTCAATGAACTGAATTCGGTCTGGAGAAAATATATCCAAAAATGCTAACCCTAAATTTCACAGACTGGTATTGGGGAACAGTAAAACTAATACGAAGGTACTCTGCACTTAATAACTTGCTCACTTAGGCTGACGAGCATTGGTATCTCTTATGAGTTATACCTACTCGTTAGCTGGCGCATTCTTGGAAATATTAGGTCCTTACATATGAAATTGGTGTTTTGTACGGGAGGAATATAAAGTCAATTTTTTTTTGTAAAATATATTTAATTAATCAAAGTATGCACCGTTGTTATCTGTGCACTTTTGCCGTCTCATAAGTTGTTCATTGATCCCTTTACTAAAAAAATCAGGGGGCGAGAATCAATAAACTCTTTGAAGGAGGTTTGGACTGCCGCATCGGAGTTGAATTTTTTTCTTGTAAGAAGTTACCAGCTAAATGAATATATAAATTTAAATTTGGAATTCTTAACCAAAGAGGAGATTTTTTAGATCAAAGTGGTTAGTACGACAAAACGCTAATTTTATATGTAAGTACCTAATAATAGAGTTTCCATTATTTCAAAGCAATTAAGAGCATATATTATTATGTTTGCCAAGAACGAGCCGTAGTAGCTTAGGAGATAAGCGCTCAGTAAGTTTCATTATACGCGGGAAAAGAGGTTTCGATCCACGCCGACATCAATGAAATTGTTAATTGCAATTTTAAGTGCTGATTTACAACGTGTTTGGCGGTGTAGAAAACATCGTGTGGCAACCTGCGTCTGACGAATAAAGAGGATTGACGATCGCAGTACCAGACCTCTTGCATTCGACCTGGCTACATTACGCGTGGCGTAAACGAGATACTTGTACCTACCGCCAACTATCGGAAGGTCTAAGATCTGTATGGCAATTCTCATAGTCACTTATTGTAACACCCATGGTATGAAATGGGATGATGAAATATCTTACTCTATACCATTCAGCGTTCAAGAGTTCTATTAAATGTCTGGTGCTCTTTTGTTGGTAATATCGGTAGTGACATAAGTGAATCCATCCATTCATCCCTTACAGCCTATATAAGTCCACTGATGAACACAGCCTCCCATAGATTGACATATATATATGTGTGTGTATGTGTGTGTGTGAGTGTGTGTATGTGTGTGTGTGAGTGTGTGTATATATATATATATATATATATATATATATATATATATATATATATCCATATGGCATAGTTGCTACGGGATAATATGGGGTAATGGATATTCTTACACCGCTACTACATGGACATTATTGCATAACGTAATTAAAATCAACTAGGGTTTCATCTTCATTATCGCCATTAGTTATTATTAGTTTAGTGAGATCTTATGATGTTATACCATTTAGGTAATGACTTGCCTAAATGTTACATCTTATTATCTGATTCGATACTCTGCATTGTGCTTTTAATCACTTAATTTCTTCTCTATATTGTGACCTTGCGTCAAAATCGACGATTTCACATTATTGTTTTCTTACGCGAAAATGTATGTCGAGGGCTTAAACCAAAGGTCACCTTAATTCACTCTTAATGAAACGAGGTTGTTCGTCCCATCATTCATTAACAGCGTAAATTTCAATGATCAATTAAATGGTCTTATACATTTATCTTAATACCAACTATCTCTTTTTTAATAATAGGTCAGACGTTGTGCTGTTCTTTCCTATAAAAATGCTTAAATTTGCAATAAGAAATATTGAGGGTATCGGAATCAAAATTATCCTATCTCTAAAGTTGGAGTAAAGACGTACAAAATTTTACAAAATTTCATTAAAATCAGTTTTTGAGCGGTTTTGAAGATTAGCGTGAACGAACATCGTACCTAAAACGGGATATATATATTTATTAAGAAGATATTATTTAAAATATTTTAAAAGAACTCTTGCTTCCAAAGATTAATTTTACAACTTTTCTACTTTATACAGTAGTTGAAGGTCAACTTGTTTGCTATAAGGTTTAGGTTCAAAATTTACTGATGGACAGGTATTTCTCAGCTTCACAACGTGTCCTCTAATTATCTTATTAAAGAGATTTACAATTCATTACCCTTTGAAACTAAAATAAATTTTTCTTCTCGTAAGTACAAAACTGATCTTATCCACTTTCTGCACGCTTTGTACCAACGGAATATCCCACTATTTCTGTCGGTTAACTTCCATTTGAACATATTCTGAGCAAGAGGCGGGAAATGCAACGCTAGCAATATTTCTTACAGAAACACCTCCAATTTTTATTGGCTTGGTATGGCATAGTTTGACTCCAGGTTGTGGTATTTAAAGATATTGTATTTCTGTTTAATCTAGGTACAAGAAATAAGAGCAGTGTTACTCCACATAAGATATGATAGAATATATCAATATAGTTTAAAATGGATCAAATTTTGTTCTTAAAACAAGTTTTAAACTATCTTAAAACAACTGAATACGTAGCAGGTATAGCGATTCCGATTTTTACTAATTTTTATTTAATTTGTCTGTTTACTGTAAATATCTTAACTTTTAATAACCATAGCGCCTGTGAAAAATATTAAAGCAATTATTTTCAATTCGTTAATGGCGTGTAAGTAAGTATCAAAAGGCGCGAGTGTGTGTAGATCAATACAGTATCTTATGTTGCGTAGATGCATAAGCATTAAATTATTTGTAAATATATCAACAAATTAACGGCGATTAGCAAATAATGTTTGTTAATATTTAAACCTAATTTTTGTCACGGCGGTCAGTCTAAACGGAGATTAACCAGCTGCGCAGGACAGAATTAATAGTACCCGAGTGTATGCGTAAGCACAGGTGCACTTTCTATTTCCTCATTCTCATAGGAAGGAATGGCAATCCAACACGACCCGAGAGTTATGGCGCATGAATAACGGCTTTCCGAGGTACGGGGTGAAACGTTTTTTTTATAAGTTGCCGCTACTGGGAACTTCTTGATAGAAACACCAAATATCTGAATAATATCTTTTTGGCCTGACTCGGGTATTCAATCAACGAGCCAAATTAACAGATACTGTGCAATTTAAACAAAATAGAAAACATACAAAAATAAAACTACC